AGGATGCAGGGCTGGCCTTTAGAGTAGCCAAACGTTGGGTCCTGAATGCCAGAGCAGTTCTGCAGCAGTGAGCGCTTGAACTGGCAGGCCTTCTTCTCCTCACTTTCATTGCCTCCTTGGATGAAGTACTGTCCTGAGACACACTCGATATTTTTCTCCTCTTGAACTTTGTCGTCATAAGCTGGTGGGGACGAAGAGACTTGTTAACGTTTCTTGAGACCTGCACAGACCCACGCTCTCAGAGTACATCCACACGTCAAAGGGAGTTAAAGTCCCACCTGGAAAGGCAAGGCTCCCTCCCACAGAAGCTCCCGTGACCACCTTATGAGCCTCCCTTTCTAGATGGGGGTCGTGAGAGGCTGAGAGCTGATCTGCACCCCAGGAGGACACCCATGCACTGTGTGCGTGTGCGCATGGATGCAAACAACTTGCGGGCATGACTCCTGGGGTGCCTGAGAGCTTACCTGCTAGGAAGTGGTGCATGCTGTCCACGTAGGGTTGCCACGTGCTGGGCTGAGAGACGTTGAAGGCAATAGTGAACCCATTCAAGTACGGTCTGATCATGACTCCTGGAGAAGGAAACGGACCCTGTTAGAGCAGACATGGGTGGACTGGCCACAGGCTTGGGGCGCGTGTTGCAGGGGCTGGCTGCACCGCGACTGGGCTTGGGGCTGGGCACAGGCACGAGAGCGGCAGCACCAGCTCACAAATAAACTCTCTCCTCAACCTGCTGATCCCTCACCTCCATTTCACACCCAGAGAACACCATGCACATCAAAATATCCCGGGAAACATGGGAGACCTGGAGGGCCTCAGCAGCGCTGCAGGGAAGAGATGGGCTTGGGGTTGCACGGAGAGGCTGAGGGGTCCCCCATGCTCGCAGCCGCGCAGCCAGCTCCGGGCAGGGAGCAGGGCAAGGGGGCCTCGTGTTCCCCACTGACACGAAAACACAGGGAAAATGCTGCTTCGGTCATAGGGAAAGGAGTTTTTGAACATTATCTTGCCAGGACTCCCCCAAATAATAATGCATAAAAGCTACTCTTGATTTGCATTTTATTTTGAAGATATGAGGTATAAAGGGGCAGCAACTGAAATGAATGGGCATCACCTATGAAATGCCCAAATGTGCTCATTTACCTTGAGAATAAATAATAGCATAATAGTTAGCATAATTAGAATAACAATTAGTATAATTAGAATGAATGCTTCACATGGGGCCATTTAAGACGCCTGATCCTCTGCAGAGAACCTGCAGCACTGTCAGTGCCCTGAGGTTAAGTGATAACAGCCCGTGTTATGGAGGGCTGGTGGGCCATCGGAGCATACAGCTCCAGCAGAGCTTTACCCGAGGTCCCTGCCGCGCCATTTCGGTAGCGCTTTGCTGGGCAAGTGCCAGCAGAGGCGGCCGAGGCCGGGCTGGCTGGGGTACGTACCTGGCGGAGACACACGGTCCCGGTACGTGGGCGTGTAGGGGCTCAGCGTGAGCAGCATCACGTACATGCAAAAGGCAAACATTCCCGCCAGGCATGTGTAGAAAATGAAGTAAAACAGTAGGATCAAGCCTGCAAAAGAGGGAGGGGATGTTGCTGTTAAGGCAACCAGAGCACGTCCCATGGGCTGTGTCCCGCAGGGCTGCACAGCCGTGCTCAGCATGGCGTCCTCCGCAGCTCAGAGTCCGTTGTGGAGGTGGGAGCTTGCAGCCCTCCTCTGCACACAGACCCTGGCATTTTTGGGTGCAGGACTCTCAGCCAGACACACTCCCTGCCCAGCCCCGGGGCCGGGGCAGCTGCCGCTTGGTTCTGTATGCCTTTTGCTGCATGGCCCTTCACAGAGCTGGGTCAGGACCAGGTCCGTGTGTCCACCTGCCTCAGCTCTGTCCGACAGACAGACTCGACCCTGGCTTTTGCCCTTCCCACCCCGTCTTGGCATGGTAACACACGAGGGTACCCAGTGGCTTCAGCATGTCCAAATTCCCGACGGGGGCTGCGGGGTGATGCCCCTGCCCCAACTCCTGTCGCCTGCGCGGGAGGGACCCCAGCACTGGGACTGAAGCGAGCGGCATCGCTGGGTGGCTGCGGCACCGCTGGCTGTTTCATAGCCCTGACGTCCAGGGAATGGGTTTGTTTTTCCTCTGGACCAGGCTGATGGCTGAGGATGTCTCAAGAGGCCATGGCCTATGAATAAAACCCAGCAGCTCAGAAAGCAAAGTGAAGCCTTAACCCAAACATTTCCCAGGAGAAACATGCCGGCAGCTCGGAAAGAGCCCTGGGAACGCAGATGTGCGCTCCTGCCGTGCTTCTGCCGGGGCCGCGGTGCTGGGAACCGCTGCGGGGCCGTGTCCTGCTGCGGGCCAAGATGGGGCGGATGGGACCATCACTGCTGCTGGTGGCACAGCAGGGACAATGTCTAGCCCTGCCACAAGGATGTTGGGACGGTGCCTCTGCACCAGCCTGGCAGGGCTGGAGCTGCCACTGGGGTGCTGAGCCGATGTTTGTTGGGACATGGTGCTGCTGCCGTTCCCGTTCTCAGGTTTCCTGCAAAGCAGCAGGAAGCGTTGTCAGCAGCAGAGCCGGGGGTGCAGCCTTTCCCAGGGGCTGGGGCCTCCAGTGCCGGCCCTGTGGCCAGCCGGCTCCCTGCATTTTGGCCGCGCAAGTCCCCTGAGCCCCCCCATCCCTGGGGAACACCTTCAGGGCCAGCGCGGGGAAGCAGCCCCTGGCTGGGCAAACTCCATCCTCCTCACCCAGGAGATGAGAGCAGGGAAGTTCAGCTCCATTCACCTCCAAATGCTCTCATTTTAAAAGAAAATTTGATTTTCACAATAGCTTCAATGCCTCTTTCCTGCCCCCCTGTATGCGCATGTGAGCACACACGCGTGTGCAGCCGCAGGTATGTGTGTCCATAGGGCAGCGGGGCTGCACAGCACACCACGATGCTCCCAGGGCACAGAAGGACACTGCACCCTCCCCGAGGCTGTAAATAAATAACTTCCAGCAGTAGCAGGCCAGGACCACATGCACACCAGCCTGAGCAAGCCCTCTCACAGCGCTTTTCTCAGCACCTGGCTGAGCCTCCAGAAACCCAAACCCACGTCCCTAAGGACTGTCACCCCTGTACCACTCCTGCGCTCCAGTCTGCGCCTTCCCATCCAGCCCGTGGCCTGCAAAGGGCATGGGGGAGCAAACGTGGATTTCAAGGCCTGCCCCAGACTCGTGCTTGCAGGTTTTCAGACTCCTCTGGTGCTCGTGGACAGTTTCCTTTGTTTCTCCTGGCTGTCCCCACAGGCTTTGCAGGAGACCCAGAGCGCTTGGTGGGGGCACGGGCAGGCTGCGGGGCTTGCAAGCACACTGCCAGTACCAGCTGCCAAGGGCTGCAAACGCTGAGCAGCAGCCCCCGATAATTCGCAGCCTTACACCGGTGCGGATGTGCACATAACGCTGGGCTAAGGCTGGGGATTTTCACTCTGCTGCGGGAGCTATGTGCTGTCAGGAGAACAGAGCTGCAAAAGTGGACAGCATCGCGTGTGCTGTGGCACCTTGGTCTCGGACTGAGCTTACAGCAGTGCTCGCCCCACAGCTGTGGGCTGCTCTTAACCACCCGGGGCACCTCCAGGCTCAGCGATAATTTTTGAAGGCCATATGGATACAGATAAAATAGAGCGCTCCAAACCCTCACTGGCACATCCCAGTCCACCAGCCCCGACAGCACATGTGGGCTTTGCTGTGGGTACCATGTCATGTCCTGTGAAGCTGCAGGGTGACGGTGATGACCAGCCCTTCCCGCCCCAGAGCCAGGGTGCACGCAGGCGAGGAGGGCTGCTCGGCCCTGCAGTGTGCACCCTCCCCGAAACGCCTGCCCCGTGACTCGGGTGCTCTTCCCCCACCAACACTGATGACCCCAAAGCCACCTCCCCATGGGCTCCTGGCTTATACAGGCAGGAGCCGGGTCGCTGGCGGCAGCAGGGGTGCGTGGCTGCAGCAGAGCCACCTGCAGCCCCCGTGCTTGCTTGGGCTCTTAATTTCTTCCCGGTACATGGTCTGGGCAGCCCAAAATCTTTGCTTTCGCATTCCAGTAAACATTAACATCCAGACCAAAGGTAACTTTCCCAAGGTTTTCTGCTTGTCCTCCTCACTAGTTCTTTATTGCTCTGGTTAGAAACATCTACCCTGAAAATGTGGGACGGGGGTGTCAGTCCAAGGTATCAAGGACGTTCGCAGGCAAGTGCATCCGTCATGAAGCAGAAAAGACAACGATCCCTGAAAGCGGGGCTTGAGCAAGGACCTACCCCAGCTCTTGGCCGTTCTCCCCAGGCATGTTCTCTCCTCCGGGTTCCACAGGAACATCTTCATCTCCCCAGCCAGGTCTGCCCAGGTTTTGCTCCCCATCTCTCTCTTGGTCTCGTCCTCCCTTCTGTCAGGATCCTGGACCTTCTCCTCATGCTTATTTTCCTGGAAGAGTTACAGAACACAACCCCCACACGCAAGCTGAACATCTCATTGGCCAAAAATAAATGGAAAAGCACTTAATAGCTGGAAATGTTTCAAATTTCCATTTTCCCATCATCACTCTTGAGTTAAAGAGACGCAGTTTTGGCTGTTCTGACTTAAGATCACTTAGATCCCAGCATCCATTTTTCCATGACACGTACGTCACTGCCGTCACACCGGGTACTGTCTCCTTGTCCTGGCATTTACAGAAACTCATCTTTTTCCACCTGCGTGAACATGACCAAAGAAAATCTGTGATCTGAGGGGGTCGGGGCTGTTCCCACGCTTCTGCAACGTCTCTGAGCTCAAGTGCATGTTTTCTGTGTTACCACAGATGACAGCAGGCGGCATTATTTAAGAGGTCATCCAGTTTGTTTTTCTTGGCATGTGAGCAAGTGTTTAGCCTTTGGAGAAATCCCTGTATTGTTATTTTTTAATTACACTAAGTTTCAGGGAAAAGCATCTCCCCAGGCAGCAAGAGTTTGCTTTTTGCCTTGGTGGTGAAAACTCATTTGTCTGGAGCTTGGGAAGACCAATTTTTCTGTACCTGCACCTGGCCAAGAGTCACTTGAGACGAGACACGGCAGCCGTCCCTAACCCCCCTTGAACCTGGGCAGGCTCTACGTCTCCAAAAGCAAGCAGCAAGGTGGGAGAGGGTGCAGACCTCGCTTTGAGCTCGGGGCAGGGCTGGCCCAGGTACCGCCAGGGAGAAGGGGTGATGCTGAGATCTGGATGGGATCATCGCCTCCCAGTGCTTTAGTGCAAACCTGCTCCTGGATGGGTCAGGGCCACGATCGCCCACCCCGGCCACATCTCCCCGAGGCTGCTGTGCCCACTGAGAGCATGGCTCCGCAGCAGCTGCACCGGTATGATCACCCCGTGTCTGTGCTGTGGGCCATGGAAACCCGCTGGCTGTGAGCACCTGCTGGAGCCAGGGCCGACAAGCAAGATATTCACACCCCGTGGGTCGCCCTGGCGGAGCTGGGAAGCGGCCGACAGCTTGGCAGAAAGTCCGGCTTGGAAATGCCTTTGAATCAGGGGGGATTAAACTCTGCTCAGACACACTGCAAACAGTGAGAATGAGGGGAGAGTACAGACTCCAGAGACCGAATTCATGCCTTGGAGAGCCTGGGCCAGACCCAGGGAGCCGTAAACCATCACCATTGCATTGATTGCCCCAATCGGACCCGGTTAAAGCCCCAGCGGGGCTCTTCTGGAGGCATGCCTGCGTCAGAGTGCTGCTGCCGGCAAAATGCCCACGGCCGCCTGTACAGCGAAGGCATTGCTTGGCCCTGGTCCCGCACCCCGGGCTGGAGCCTTTCCTAAGCAAGCTCCTGCACAGCCACAGCCCTGTACCATGCAGGGCTGATGAAACCAGACGATTTCGGAGCAGGGAAGCAGCAGCCCCAGCACGAGTCGCCGGCAAGGACATGGGAGAGGAGGTATGGGGGCTGCCGGCTGCCAGGACACTCACGGAGGAGCAAGTGATGGAAGAAGAGGAGGAGGAGGAGTTCTCCTTCCTCCCGCTCTCCTCCCTGTTAAATAAAAGAGCTACCGGCAGCTGTTCTGGAAACATTTTCTCAGAGTGCCAGAGTAGCGGGACTGCTTGGAGGGACTCTGCACCGATGCTGAGTGCTGCTTTGGGAAAAGCCCTTTGGATTTCATACCAGCTGCAGCTCAGAGGCAATGAGGGCAGCGCGTGGGCTGTATGCAGAGCCCTCACCCAGAAGCTGCTACTGATGGATGCTTAGAGCTGCGAGGGGACACAGGGATGGCCCCCCATGGGCTCTCACCCGGGGAACTCCACTTCTGCCCTGCAGAAGCCTTTTGCAAGGAGGGAAAAGTTTCTGGCTCTCCTGACTCCGTGCTGTGTATCCTGCACTCGGTGAAGGATCCCATTCTGCCAGCTGGGAGAGGCCACAGGGGCTCCACGGCAGTGCAGGAAGGCTGGGGGCAGCCGGACAGGACGGGATGACCCCACTGCCAGGTCCCTGCTGCAGGTCCCTGAGCTAGGGAGCTAGGTTAGGTCTGGATTGCAACACCTCCCAGGTGTTTTATCTTTGCAGCCCAGGACCAGAGATGGTCTCAGAGCAGTCCCTTGCACCTGGACAAGGGGCAGGAGGAGCAGCAGGAGCTGGAGTAGGAGAGTGCCAGGGCAGGGAGGGGGCACAGCAATGGTGGGACCTGTCGGGGCACTGGACAGCCCCAGGCTGCTGCCCACAGTGGCAGCTGGGGTGACTCTGGGTGGCGAAGCAAAGCTGGGGTTCATTCCTGGTGGGATCACACTGTGCTGATGGTCGTGGGTGCCCTTGAGAGAGGCCGGGGGCTTTCCCCATCCACACCCTGGATCAGGTCAGCTCTCAACAGCGGGTTCCCCCTGCTGAAAGCCAGGTGTGCAGAAGGTGGCCCTTGCCCAGACCCGTCCCTCCTAGCCCCCCTCGCTGCCCAGGACCACCAGCCAGAGCCCCTGCTGCCCCTTCCCCTCTCAGTGCAAAGTGCTTATGCTTTGCCTAAAGGACGAAGCAGCATTTCCTAAAGCAAAGTAGCTATATTTATCAGCCATGAAGCAGGTCCTTAGCAGCAGCCCCCGCCTCGCTTCTCAGAGGGTGGCCAGCAGCCCCCAAAAGACTCACCGCCTTCTGGTGGGGGCTCCTGTGCTGGCCCTCCGTGCCCCCGGCGCTGGCGTTCCCATCCATCCCTGGGTGGGAAACGCAGAGAAACGTGAGCGTTAGCACTGCAGGAGCCCGGGGCTGAGCCCAGCAGCACCAGTCCCATCATGGGCGCCACGTCGCCCCGGCTCTCGGGGACCCACAGGCACAGCCCCCTCCCCAGCGCAGCTCCTCAGCCCCCCGGCACCCCCCAAAAAGGCTGAGTGAGCGCGGCTGCACCAAGACCTGTGCCTGTCTGCGGGGAGCCACGCTGCTTTCCCTCCCTACCCCACAGGACTTCAGCGTTCGGGAGTGGATCAAAAAATAACTTGCTTTCCTAACAGGGGTGAGCTCAACGCAACAGGATCCCGTCCTCAGCCCCCTGGCATCTGGTGCCCTTTGCAGCACCCTCGCAGCATCCTGCCCCGCGCCCAAGCCCCCATCAATGCCAGCCAGCGCCCTACATGGGGAAGCCGGGCTCTCCGCCCTGGGGCGACCGTGTAGCTGTTAATAAACATTAGCAAATCACTAGGGCTTTTGATGGCTACATGTGTCCGTCAATATGTGCTTGTCAGTCATGGCAGGGCTGTGTTTAATGCTTGCAAAATTTCTTTTGCAATGAAGGGGTAGTGCGAGGGGCAGGTCTATATTTATCCCTTCGAATTGAGACAGCAGCTAGGAGCACACAGCATCGGCTTCCCCGACTCAGCTGTAAGAGCTGGCCACAGCCACCGAGACAAATCCAGAGGGGCACCTTGCTGTGACACCCTGCAGACCGGGGCCAGGGAGTATCAGATTTTCCCCCATCAGTGAATTACGGGTACAAGACGGTGCATTAGAGGCGAGGGGGCAGCGTGCTGGAGTCCCGCTGCTGCGAGGGGCCGGCATGGTGGGAGTGCTGGGGGACAGCAGGGGGACGGGGCACTGGTGTCAGGACAGCCTCAGCTAAACCCTGCCTGCTGCTGCACATGTGGCAGCACCTGGAACAACTCCAGTGGTGTGATGGCAGCGTGCGAAGGCTGTCTGTCCCTGGCTATGCCCTATGCAGCTCCCGAGGAACAGTGGGGCTTGTTTTACACTGTCTGTCCCAGCAGGAGCTCGGCATCATCCACCAGCTCGTTCCCTCAGCACATTTCCAGTGGGGCAGGTGACTCTTCCCTTCATGGCAGAGCCAGGCCCCGTTCCATGGTGGGGAAAGGCTGCCTTGCCCCAGGCTGGGGCTTTGCCCAGAGGTACAGGGACGTCCGTTCTGGGGTCCCGCAGGACTGCATCATGCCATCCAAGCAGGGAAAGCACCATTTCTCCCTTTCCTCTCCTGAGCATGGCCGAAAGCCACTCACCGGCTGTGCTAATAAGTGGGCACAGCGGGAAAGAAAGAGGTCTGGCAGCTGCCCTGGTCTGCACTGAGTTGGCCGGGGCTGCCGCATGCCTGCTGCCAGGTACGCAGGCAGGGCTGGCTCGGCACCGGTGCCTGCCCGCAGCCAGGCCGGCAGGAGGGCGCGCGGGCAGCCACGCTCACAGCTGGCTCTCCCTGGCCGCGCTGGGGCCTCGGGGCCCGAGAGTTGCCTGCCCGAAGCTCGGAAGCTGGGATGGGGCGCAGGGATTTAACCTGGCCTGGGCAATTGTGGAGAACCAGCAGCTCCCTGGGGGCACAGGCACCCCATCACAGCGGCTGTGCTGCCGCACAGCCCGGCCCTGGCACGGAGCGGAGGAGGGAGCCGAGACCCGTCCCCTCCATCACTGGCACGGAGTGGAGGTGACTGAGCAGGAGGGGGCCGGTGTCGGCCCCACTGCCCGGTGGGGCACAGGCAGTGAGCACAGGGCTCATCTAGTTCATCCGAGGTAAATAACCGCTGTTTTCTCTGGAGGTGATGCATTCTTTGCCATTAATTGATCTGGGCATTTGTAACTTGCCTCTTGCACCGCTGTCAGTGTACTCTTTCTCTTTTCTCCTGGGAGAAGCTGGTAATTAGGCTCTTATCCAACAAAAGTGTGGGGTTTTTTGAAGCAGAAATAGGATTAGTTTCTTTTAACTTGATGAAATATGCTTTGGCTTGAAATAATTACATGATTTGCACTTAGCACCTCTCAGCCCAGGGCATTAAAGTGATTTACAAGCAATTATGAAGCCTGCTGGGAAGATGCTTTTATCCCCATTTTACAGACGCGATATGGAAAACAGAGGTTGAGGGCCTGCCCCGGCTCCTTGGCTGGAGACGCAGGGAGCTTGCAGGGTCTCCTGGGAGTGCTGCCTCTGTGGGACGGGGCGCAGGCAGCAACAGGCATCGCCACTGGAGCAGAGATCTCGGAGCCCCGAGAAGTAAAAAAATGGGCCAGTGGCCGTGGCCGGGTGGCTACCCGGGAGTGCCACCAGCACCACTGCAGGGAGGAGGGAGATGCGGGGACAGAGGAGACGTTTGGCAAGGGACAGAACGGGCTGGAGGTGGGGTGGGAGCTGCTGGGGTGCAACGGGGCTGGGGGAAAGATGGGGAGGAGGCAGAGGAGACCCAACACCAGGGTGGTGCTGAGCCCCTCCGGCCGGGCGGCTGCTGAGTGCGGGGGGTCCACGGCCGGGAACCCCCTGGAGCTGGGGCAGGATCCCATCCTTCCCCAAAAACCCTCGTAGGGCACGGCCGCTCCGCTGGTTCCCAGCGGCACGGTACCAGACCCCC